TTTGTGGTTTTGAGTAAAATCTCTGAAGATAAGCTGGATGGATTGTGAAATCTGGGTCACACTTTCATGTCCCCCTCAAATTGAATTGGAATAACTTCGATAATCCCATATTTCATGTAGTGGCATCATCAAGTCATATTTTTTATTTGGTTTATGACCAAATAGCAGCAAAACTAATGATGTCCCATCAGCCTCAGATGTATGTTGTGCTTATTACCAAGTAGTACCATGCTAAAACACTAAAAACATGGCTGAAAATGGTGAATATTATACTATACTATGTAAAATGATGCTTTACTCTACTATACTATAAATATTTTTATATTATAAATATATCATACTTGCTAATATTACTTTATGCTTTCATTCAATCACTCATATAACGTCCTCTATTAATCCCTTTATTCACACACAAAAACTCCTTTGTTCCCTCATTTCTCAGTCTCACTTACTCATTAACAACAACTCACTGCTGTCATGGATCCGTTCATTCATTCATCATTTCACTCACTCACTGGCTGTGTGGTTGGCATGGTTACCTGCTGCCAGTCAGCCTGGTCCAGACAGTGCCAGTCTTCACTGTAAACCTGCAGCCTGGCTGGAAGAGACGAGTACAGACCAGACAGACCTGTGGCCAGCACCTGTGAGCACACACACACACACACACACACACACAAATGCAGGTTAGTGGTTTCAGACACACGATACATGATGATACAGGTGAGGCACTACGCACACACACACACACACGAACACACAGGCTTTTGTGGAAATTAAATTCCAGTGCAGATTAGTGTGTTCTTTTTATAAATAGCAGAGATTGAGGGCAGATAGAAACTGAGGAGAAAATAAAATAAAAACTAAATATCCTTATTTAATTATTCAAGTTAGATGACAAGATCTCTTTCATATCTGTATGGTAAATATGAAGATATCTGTATGTAAAGGTAAAAACATCCACTTATTAGAACCTCTAAAGCCTTCAACTAACACATTATATCTTGTTTCCCTGGGAATCACTGCTCCGGCCAACACTTCCTTATAAACGAACTAAATATAACATGTTAATTAGTGACATTTGGAGGTGATATTAGGTACATTTTGGTACAAGTGGAAAGCGCCAGACTAGCTGTTTCCCCCTGTTTCCAGTCTTTATGCTAAGCTAAGCCAACCAGCTATAGCTTCATATTCATATCCAAAATGCTATTTCTTTAATAAGAGAGGAGGAAGAGAAAGAGAGGAGGACATCATCAACATCAACGACAACAACAACAATAACAACAATAACAGCAGCAGTCTTGAGTCTCGTTAACAATCAGGAAACTGTCCAATCACGTGCAGATTTACTAATCCGTCTCTCTGTGTACGAGCCAATCTCCTGCTGGTTTACTAATCTGCTCTCTACATAAAGATTGAGGTCAGAGTGGTTACGTGGGCTTAAATCTGACACACACACACACACACACACACAGGTGGCACATGGTTCAGTGTCTTTGCTCGCCCTTTCACACACATACACACTCCCTCCCTCTCGTTCTCTCACTCAAACACTAAGAGCAGAAACTAGCAGTGACGGAGCCAACATGGCCGGCAAGCGTTAGCAAGCGAGACCTGAAGGACAAAAACATTCTTGTCTTTCCAGAACATTAGATATATATTTTCTTTTTTCATATTTTTTAACACCCTTGCTTAAATCTTAGGATCGTGTAAATGTTGTTAAGATTTAAGATTTTTAACAAACTTAAATATCTCACCAACTCATCCAATAGTTTGTGAGATATTTGTGATGTAACAAAGTACAACCTAACATTTGATTTATGTTTTAATTATTTCTCCTTTATTTATTGTAGTGTTGAATACTTTTCTTCACATTAAGGCTTTTTGTAATATCTTTATTACTTGCACTTCCCTTGTTTCCTTTTCTGCTTTCCCTCTATTTCCCTGTTGCTTTCCATAACTTCCCCCTCCACCTCTTCACCTTGTTGACACTGTATATCTGTCTGTATCTCTTTCTCTCTCTCTCTTGCTGGCACACAGACACAAGCATAAAACTAAATTTAAATGTCATTTTACAACGCAGGGTTGTATAAT